CAGGTTCCAATAAAATATAATACGAAGAATAAAAAAGTGCCGCATATAAAGCAAGGTTAGGTTGAAGCGGTATTATCCTCCATAAGGAATCTTGCTCTGTAGAAGACTCCAATTTCCCAAAATTCGACGCCCAGATTAGAGCACTCCATAGAAGGAGTGGAACGCAGACTGGTTCGAAGATAATGATAAGGTGAGGAAAATGCATTTGCAAGGAATACTTTATGAAATCTCGATAGCTTAAGAGTGCATACCAACATGAATTAATATATTGATTCTATTGTTGTGATACATTCCGTAGAAAGTGAGCTGTTCCTCCAGGTTTAATAGTCCCATTCTTTTGATTCTTCTTTATGTGCTAGAAATAAAAAAAATTAAAATCAGGTATCATTTTCAACAGTAAACAAAAGAAAACAGTGAGAACACTCGTTTACCAATACTCATCAAAAATAAAAAGCGAATTGTTGTAGACTTTGCAATATTTCAAGTTTTGAATTTACATTTCTTGACCTACTACATGTGTCAATCAGGTGTGGTGAGTTCCTTATCTGATGATTGACCGATCACACGATATATGATAAAAGTCGATATAAATTTTTAACTTTCAAATAAATGATATAGATGATAAAACGGAGACGAATCATTCCTTTTTTTTATTTGTTGTCTGTTATTTAATATTTAATATTAAAAGGTTCGGAAAAAAACAAGTGACAAGAAAAGATATATAATGTGTTATTACTATTATTATTATTAATGAAAAGATATCTTAAGAATAAGGTGCGGATTTGAAGAATATCAAAAAAATTTTACACGAGGAGAAAAGAGGAAAATATATCAAGAGAAATCACCGCCCATCCAACCAGGCTTTTTATTAAAGACTACTACTACTGCTGCTGTCATTTTCATACAACAATTTGATCTATCTCAAAGCCTGTTAAGCAACTAATTTTGAAAATGTTAATTGATTGATTAGCTTGCTATCAATATAAGCGTGTAATTTGTTGCATTACATGGATCTCATTACATTTTAGATGTCTTCATCTTCCTCTGCTGTTGATTCAAAAAAGAAAAAAATTCAGTATATATAATAATAAAAAAACTCGTAGAATTAATAGAAATTTACCTGGAAGTGGCATGGCGGAGGCAGTTTCCAACTCTTTGGCATATTGATCCATAAGATTTGGATCCACTGTAACTTCGGGCGGTGCAAGGGCGGGTGAAGCGACAAATTCCAAATTAGGATTACTGTTAAATTATTTAATATATAAATCTAAGATTAATATCAATGCTTTATTCATAAACAATGAAAAATCAGAAAGTATATAATTAACACGAACCCAATTAATTTACGGGCCAACCACAAGAATGGTTTCTCGAAGTTATAATTACTTTTGGCTGAAATATCGTAATATTGAAGATTTTTCTTTCGATGAAATGTAATAGTCTTGGCTTTAACTTTACGTTCCTATCCATTAAAAAATGTTATTATGATGATTATTATTACAAAAACAATAAATAAAATCACAAAAAAAAGAACCAGATAATTTTTATATAACGTCTAACTCACCTTTATGTCGACCTTATTACCACAAAGGACAATGGGGATGTTTTCACAAACACGAACCAGATCTCGATGCCAATTCGGGACATTTTTGTATGTAATTCTTGAAGTTACATCAAACATAATAA